GAAACCACCGGGTAGCCCGCTGAAGAGCAGCCCGAAGAAGGTGGAACCGGCTCCGAAGCTGGAGGCTCCTAAGATGGATCTGGGATTGGGGTTGGGGTTAGACGTCAAGTTTGACGAAAAGCTGGTGATGAAGAAGGACGATGACTGGTTCTAATAGGATACATCAGCGCATGGGTTTGGAGTACGGCATTTGTCAAGAAGATTCAGAAACCCCACGGACGATAGGTTCGGAGAGAGTCTGTTGGGTGAAGAAAAACTGTTTCTGGGTCGTATCTGGTTTGGGGAGTTCAGGGTCCAGGTGTATTGGGTGTTTTGATTCTTTTCTTTTACACACCATTCCTTCATATTTCTCTCGGTGGATGTTGCATCAACACCACGAGGTAAGTTAATCACGACTAATGACTCGACGGACACATATTCATTCAAAGAGCATGGCGGTTACGAAATCACTTTGTTTGTATTGCATTACATATCTCTAATGAGAAATTTCATGACTTTCCAGTTTTTGAGGATAAGCTGAGGGTGGAGGGGCGTTGGCTTTTGATTGTGAGGTTGAGACTACTTGGCCGAGTGGGACTTTGATGGATGGACTGTTGACTGAACGTTTGACGGTGGTTATTCACGGAAAGCTTTTGTCTGAGGCTGGAGCCTTAGAATTGGTGCTTGAGGTTTCACTTGTATGTTGGATTCAAATATTTGACTTCAACTTTGAGTTTAACAGACCTAACTCTTTCTACTTTATCCTCAATGTTAAATTCCTAACTCCATTATATAACGCCAACCTTCAACAGCTTCTAACCTTGAATGGCCCACCCGGCCTGACGATAATCTCCAGTTTTTCACGGAGAACACCCTAGTTTAAGACCCTGCCTGAGGTACTAAGTCTAGATATAGGAACCGTCGGTGCAGCTGTCGCAGCAGAGAATTTGTGTATAGTTTGGATAACACTTCGCCTTTTAATTCTTGCTCAATTCGTCGTCATCTCGGTATATCTAGTTATGGGGGGGAGAGTATGGGTAAATTCATAGTAAGTTTATCTTTTTGTTAGAGGACGTTTAACTCTATTGATTATAACGAAGTTCAAAAGCGGGTGGACTATTTATTTACGAACATCAGTCTTCGCAGGTTCTCAACACTACAATGTAGTAATCTAGAATAATCTAGGGTATCTCAGAAATAACCTGCAGTATTATAACGAGCTATTTCGACAAAGTACGGGAGTAATGCCCAGTCCCTCTATTGCGTCTTCAGCAATTTCTCTGCCCTGCAGTCCCATCAGTAGGCGACTCCTCCCCGTCCCTTTGAACTCTTTTTGTCGCACCAGCAACCTGTTGAACACCTAGAATAGAGCAGACCCCACCTGTCAAGGTCCCTTCTTCATGTATTTGCTTCATTTTGCGTGCTTTACGCTTGGTTGCAGCCTTATTTGCTTCCTCAAGCTGTGCCACTCAGTAGCGCAGCAACGCAACATCATGCAACATCTATGCTGCCAGACTTGCTAACAATCAATTCAATTGGCGATCCGTTTTCTTTTCAATCAAATCAAATCAAGACTTAAAAATTGATTGATTGATTAATCGCCAATTGATGTTATGTGACTTAGGATTATTCTGTTTCAAATAGTGGATAAGGCTTTCAATGGGCCTATATTGTCTATACAAGCGATCTTTTAACAACCTAGTCTTCCTTATACAGCAACAAAAATAAGACAATTACAGACCTAATCACGACACGAAAGATGTCCAAAATGCCTGAAAGGAACTACCATAGGTGGGCAGAGGATTGTTCAGGTTATACTCCAGACTTTTGAGAAATTCGGTATCTCTCTAGCCAAGGTAAGCTACTCTGTGCTAGGCAATGCTGGCGCGAACAGTAAGGCAGTAGAATCAATCGCGAACACATATGGTTTCAATCTTATTCACCAACGTTTTCGCTGCGGCCCGAATACGATCAATCTTGCTGGACAAACAATCATCCACGCAGTCGATAGGGACTCCTTTAGCAACGAAAAGTCCCACTTTGAGCAGGCGAGGCAGTTCTTACACAACTGGCGTCGAGAAGGGCCTTTGGGTGTACTTATTAACGTTCTCAATCATATCAAGACACCTCAGCAATATGATTTTATTTAGAGTTTTCAGTAAAGTGAAGAGGACCTTCTAGAAGGCCAGAAGGTCTCTAAACCCAAGGACATCATCAAGCCAGTTGTTACTAGATCGAATTCTTTCTGCGCCCTCTTTGAGAGAGCTATTGATATGACGCAAGCTCTCAATGCGTATATACAGTATCACATCGAGAAAACACGCATTGAGGAGGTTTCCCGACATGCGCGCGGATTGAGGTCTGAGGAGATGCCTACTTGGATGAAATTCGATGGCCTTACCTCTCAGGATTAGGCAGCGATTACCCAATACATTCAGGTGCTAAAGCCCCTCAAGGAGGCCACTGCGAGGCTTGAAGGTAGGGAGGCCTCTGGCCGATTTGGTGCAGTATATGAGATTATCCCAACTTTTGAAGCAATCCTGCAAGCCTATGCGTGTATATCAGAGCAATTCTCCGTCGATTTTCACGAACCAGATGCCCCTGAAGATGATCTAGTAATCAACGTCCGAGCCGGATGGAAGAAGCTAGAGACATATTACAGAAAGCTTCACGATTCACCTGCGTACTATGCGATAACTATACTCCGCTCATATTATAGGTTCCATTGCGATAACTCGTACAGAGGGCAGCCAGAATGGCTGGAGAAAGGAGGTGCACAATTCCAAAATTTATGGGCTGAATACAAGGCTAGCCAAGATAGACCATCACCACTACGGAAGAATGCGCGGATTGCTACCAATTTTCAGGAGCAGGTTGATAAGTATGCTAATCAAGCTCCCCTGAGAAATTCAGGCCTTAGAGGACGACGGATTTACCCACTGGAAGCACAAGGAGCTAAATCTCCTTTAGGACCATCTATTTCCGATTAATCCGATTCCCTATTGGTTTGCCTACCGCCCAAGTACCCGAAGATCTCTCAGCTTGCCCTCAACGTTCTATCTATTCCAGCTTCAAATTATGAATGTGAGAGGCAGTTTTCCGACACTGACGACTTTTTAGTGCCTAGGCGGGCTACGCTATCCACCCCAGATGCACTCTGCCATTCAAAGTGTAAGATGTGGGTTTAAAGTTGGATTTAATCAGCCCGTGGAGCTATCCTCTATTTCTGAAAATACTTTAGACGGGATTAAGACTAAAAGTTTTAGGGTATTGGGTCACATGTAAGAGGGATTTGCTATCAATCGATTTGCAATTCAATTAGGCTTTAAATGGACCAATCAATGAATCAATCAATTGCCGTGACCGTCTACGATCAGTCAGTTCACTTTGGGAACCTGAGCCTTGGTAACTTGAGCAGATATTTATTTCGTGAATGCCTGCTTAAATGTTATTTCAAATGTTAGTAGGAAGGATAGCCTGTCGATGTTCTAGATGCGACTATAGATCAAGCATCCAATCTCATTCCTATATACCTTCTTCAGTGGCGAGAAGTTCCGTATATCTAACAGCTGCAATAGATGCGACGTATGAGATGACCTATAGAGAGCAAAAACACCCTTCTCCCTGAAAAGATCTAGGAATTTGACGGAGTTACGGCTCTCATAGCTATCGATAATCAGCAGTCGGCATGAGCCTACTGAGCGACCCTTAGTATGTTTGTCAATGTGCTTCAGCTAATGCATACTAAGCTCGTTTATTGGTCAGCCGTTGTCGCTGACTGCAATGGACCAATCCTTTGGTATATTGGAGTTCACATACTAAACAAAGAGGTGGTGCCTGCTCTTGAAGATAATAAATGGTGGGACTGCCCGCCCGGTCGTATTGATCCCTTAGGTCACTGTAACCCATTCACAATCGCCTGGCTGTCCAGCCTTCCGCGGGTTGCGCCTCTCTGTGCCCATGACAACTACCGGTATATGGCTTGATATAATGCCCATCTGGATGCCACTCTTGTCAAAGTTTGTAGGTGCCTTTCTCCGTGATATCGTACTCCGCCTTTATATCCTTCACAAGCCAGAAATACTCGAGAATGATATCTGGATCGTCGTATTTCGCTCGTTTGTGGTCGTATAGTCGGCTTATAAGAGTTTTAATCGAAGAAGTACGCGCGAAGAAGCTGTTTAGCGTGTTCTCGCTCACTTTACCCGTACCTTGCTCATTAAGTGATTATCAGCCATACCTTGCATAGTAGTCGAGGTAGATGAGAATCCTCGCAAATCGAGATCAAAGATATGTTCCACAATCACCTCCTCTTCGAGCTTTGTAGGCTCCTTGGAATTGACCCCCGCAACCGCGTCTTGATATGATTCCGACGCGTCATCGCTGGAGAGTCATGCGTGCAACGTTGTATGTAGTATCAGTGCATCTTTTGCTTGCTAACTGGTCTTACGTAGTAGCTAAGGTAGCTAGGTAACTCTAGCCTCGTTTGCAGAGGAGTGAGCATTTCCTTGTTGATGCATCACGGTTAATTGCTGATAACTTAACTTTTAGTGATAGAGTGGTGAATTAAATTTAGAAAAATTTAGGTAGAATATATATACAGATACTATAGGCTAGGAGTGACAGCTTATATATATATCCTCTTTCTAAAAGGGTTCTAGCATAATAGGTATAGGGACAGCTCAAAGCATCATGAGAGTGGTAGAAATACTATTATACTAGCTAGTATATTATAGTATTCTATAGCAATACTGGGTTGCAGTTGAAATGATTAAATTAAGAAGAACAATAGTCAGTCATTGTTGCATTTTTCACCCCACCAGGGAAAAAAGGTTAAATTAACTTTAACAAACAATAATTCAGTTTAACGTGATACCTTGTTCCCGACCGAGTCTATGAACACGCAATATCTAGAGCAAAGTAAACCCGACTCTAGGGGAGTGTCCATCAACAGTCCAAAATCAACTTTAATAGCTTCTCTTACCGTCATGGAAACATTTACGCACAAAGGCAAAAATATGTGGACTTGCTTGGAATCGAACCCAGGATCTTTCCCATACGTTTTAACGGAGAAGTGAGACTAGATGCTAAGGGAAAATTATACCACTAAACCACAAGCCCAATCTCATAGCTATTTCAGTAGATGCCTAATTTGGTTAACATAGTGGTGAAATATCATTTTGTATATACTACATAAACCTTGGGAGGTCAAACAAGCGAATTAGAGGCAATTACGATGCTGTGCGAGGATTTTGCTAATGTCGGTGCGGTGTTGTGGGAATCGGAATATGTGTGATAAGGAAAGCTGATGGAAGTTCGTTCATCTTCGATTACGTAGCAGGATAGCGCTGGACAGCATGAGCAGTAAGTACTCGAAAGGTCCCTGCAGGTATGTTGAGCCGAACGTTTTCTGTTTCCCTGATGAGAAATGAAAGTGGATGTTAAGCGACGCGGACGGTATATTGCACTTCTAAAGGCCTTAGAGCTATGGAAGTACGCGTTCTAATGAGCAGACACATTAGGAGAGCTACTAATCGTGCTTCAATAGTCTAGGAAGGGAGAATCTGTCGTGAGGCGGCTCTGATTGGTTAATTCATTTTTGGGAGGGGGTATCTTCGTCTGGCCGGAGGACATCTGGTGGGTATCTAGTTTTATGAAATTGAACCAGATTCCGGGTTGAGGCAGAAAGGGGTTTTGGGATACTGTCGCTTGGATCAATGCATGGTGAAGTCCAAGTCGAAAACCGCGGGAGGGTTTCTACTATAACGGTCCAAGTTGACCAGCAGCCTTCCTTAAAGTTTCGCGGGATAAGTCCTCTGGGTTTCAGATAATTTGATCATTTGGGCTTGATTCAGGTCCATTTCGCTATGTTGTTGGGCATCAGCCTACGGAACACCTCAATGTGTTTCATATGCATGGCTCTCTTGGCACTTTGAATATCGGGTCGCATCTTCGTGATCCCGTCAATCCGCCGCTCGAATCCGCTGTAAACGACAGTGAAGTCAGGGATTTTGGAATCAGGTGGGACGACTGCGGATGCGGTTATGGTGCAGAACTATAGCGATGGAGTTTAGCATGTACGTGAAGAGCTTCCTCTCAAGGCTCAAAAAGGTATAATGTTCAGATCTTCCTAGAAGAGCACAGTTCACAGGCAAATCTGAGACAGTAATATGGAAGAGCAGGAGGCAGAAAAGGTAATGAAAGAACCTTCTTACCTTGCCAACCACTACTCCACTCCCCACCCTTCCCCCTGCTTCCACAACCGTCCCCTCCCCAACCTCCCTCGCCTCAACAATCGCCCCCGTCTCTACAACTACATTCCTCCCCAACCAAGCCCCCTCTCTCCTTTCATCTCCACTCCCATTTCCCCCTGTCACAACCCCCACAAACGCCCTCTCATATAGCACAACCCCATCCCCCAGCACAACAGGCGCCCACACACTACTAACCTTCGCATGCGGATGCAGCACCACGTTGGGACCAATGGTGATGGGGTAGTTCCCTGTCACAGCTGCATGCTGAGCGATGATGACCGAGGGGTCGATGACGAGGGAGGTGGGCTTGGGAAGCGCGCTCACGGTGCGTTTGCCTGTTGTCGAGGTGCGAGATCCAGCACCTAGGGCTGCGGGACGCGGAGCGAGTCCAGGTTGCTTTGGTACTGGAGGGTCAGCCATGGTGGAGCTGGTGTGCTGCAGTTGGTGTAGTGGTGGGTTGTATGTAGGAGGTCGGAGGGGGAAATATAAATCCCGATGTCACGTGACTTACTGTGTGGTGTGAGATCGACGTTCTACTTCATCAAATATCTGTGGGAATAGCGCGCTCTAGACATGCTGGTGAAATGTTCAGATGGACTTATATAGTAGCATAACTATCATCTGGGTGGAGATGATTTAGCCCTTAAAGGGCTACACTAGACCGCCTGTAAACCTAAGAAGTTAACAACGTATAGTTCTTAAATTCAAGAAATATAGCCCCATTAGACATGACAATTACTGCGCTTCATATGATATTCGTTCATACACTTGTTTGCCCGACCACGTCACGACCTTGATCGCTCTTATTCTCCCCGACCTCCTGATCGTCACTGCCACTGCTACTGCTGCTACTATCGTCAATCCCTTGCAGAAGGTTCGAGAACCGCTCGTGAGCCCTAGAACCATATTTCCCGATTCCCTTCGCTGAATGAATACTACCAGCTTCCTTGTTGTTACTCTCCGTGGGTTCGTTTTCGTCGACTCCTTCATCGGTTTCTTTAGCGGATGCTTCCATCAAGGCTTTGCGCTGTGCAAGCCTCGCTGCGAATTGGCGTCGAGCACGAGACGGTGGAGTCTGCAACGGCGGAATCTGCGACGGCGGAGGCATTTGTAGGTTGGAAGAGGCATTAAGCTAGGCCGAACTACTAGTTAGCAGATTATCCCACAAGGGCTCTTCTTGACACGTAGTATGGAAATTGTAGAAGTTGGAAACAGAGGTCCAATTGATACAAAGAACAGAGACAGTTACAGCCCTCGTATCCTCATGCTCATCATAAATCCTATCTCTAGAATCATCATATAAGAAAAAAACACGCCAGTCGCAATGGTAATCTCGCAGATGCAACACAGCCCAGTACATATACGAAACGCAGTCTCGATGCCAAGAATGAGCAGCTTCAAGTCCTACATTGGTGACAGCTAAGTGCCACCGGATCTGAACGAGCAAGGAGAGAAAGAAAACGCACCATACACACGGCGGCGCTCATAATTATCGGTATTCCATCTCAACATCTTCAAATGAGAGTTCACCCACTTGTTCCGAATCGCTCACAGGCGTATGACGCTCCCTTTCATTATCAGCATCGTCCATTTCTTCGTCTTCCTCATCGCTCGAGTTGGTAAAGCCGCTGAGCAGCGTAGCCCCGCTGAAGGAGTACCCACCACCAGATGTATCGTGGTTTGTCAGTTCCATGCTGTCTAGACCAACTGATCCGTTGCCGCTTAGACCTGCACTGGCAAGGGACGATGAAGCATCGCCACCAAACCCAGACCCGGCATTCACCGCATTGAGAACAGCCTGCCGAGGACCTACACTCATGTCGGGTCGTACGCCTCCCAAAATTGCATTATCCCGTTCTCTCGTCTCTGCCAAAGTCTGCTCAACATAATCGATCCAGGGCTGGCTCATTACCTTGTCTAACACAGACTGGGACAGCAGTTCGGCCGGATGCCTCTCCGTGAATTTCAGGACTTCTTCCGCTATGAGCGTAAGGTGTCCCATGTAACCGAGGCGCATGTTCGTCTCCGCTTGCGCCTTGTCACTAGCTTTCTGCCCCTTTATGATCATTTCAGTAATTCGTCCTGTCTCAAAGAGATCAATGGCAAGACTGCGGTTGAAGCCACGATCCATTTGTCCGTTGAAAACTTGCTGCACGACATCGTATACGACATTGTGAAGAAAATTGTTCCAGGGAAAGCGGAAAAAGAAATCCTGCGGGATAACTATTAGTTATAAAGCCCTACGATCTTGCGAATATTATGATAGTACATACCAAGATGGTCGGAACTACTCTGTTATCAACAAACATCATTTTCAGAAGATCGCCAACTACTGGTGAACCGTCTATGTCAACTTCATACTGAGGTGCATATTGTCCCTCAGCACCACCAAAAAGGACCGACCGCGAGCTACTGCTTTCATCAATTGGTGTCACTTCGGATCCCTCACTTTCGGGGACGTTTGAACTGAAGTGGGAAGGATCGAGCCTAGTCTCTTCGGGAGCAGAAAAATTACTCTGCTTACCAGCAAACAATGGGGCTGGCTTGTCGTCCGGATGGGGTGAGAGAGTCTCCGGTGGCTCTAAACCTTCAGCTTCCGAGCTGTTGTTCAACTGCTGAGTCAATAGAGATTGTCGCTCGGCTTGTTCCGAGTCCTTTGCAGCTGGCTGCCTGTGTTCGCTGTCCATAACCGTATCATTGTCCAAGTCGAGTCCTCCAACTTTGGCCGACAGTCCTGCTGAGGTTGGCGATTCTGCGGCATCCACGGGCTGCGGGTTGGACGCGGCTGGCGACTTTGTCTCGGATGCAGGGGCAGAAGTTTGGTCATCGGCACCACTAGAGCTTGAGACGGCCTGTTCCTGAGGGTTTGTTTTTGATGACTGCTCGACAAACTCCACATTCCTGTTCCCTCCATCTAACTCACCACTGCCCCCTTCAAGTTGAGCTTCAGATGCTGTTACCTTCTCGAAGTCCTCCTCCTCTGCATTATTCTGGACTTCAAGGCGTTTAATCTCTTCGGGAGATTCGCTAGAGGGTGCTCGCGCATGGTGGAATCCATGGCTGTCGACGCTTGTGGAAAAGTCTCCAGTGTTAAGGTTACCTCTCGACACAAGTTTACCTTCGGTTTTAAGACGCTCTCTTTCAGTATCTCTTCGCTTTACCTCCGCCTCACTGCCCCTTTCATTCAGCAGCGCCATGTTACTGCAATGTAGGAGTTCTGCCATCAGCTCACAGGTCTTAAATCTATCAAACCCAAGTGGTTCAATCTTCTCCCCGAAAGCAGTTTTGAGCTCCCTTCTCCTAGTTGCTGTTGTGCCATCTCTGTTGATAACGGTATGGTTGGGATTATGTACTAGGTCCATAAACTGCGGTATATGTTTGGCAAACTGTCGAAGCAACGTTCCTAGATATATAGGATCTGAGGGTTTTGGTACTGGCCCAATTTGGTTTTCGAGGTCATAATCGGAATTGTTCTTCCGAATAACCTCAATGATAATCCCTACTCCAACGGTAAGAGGGTTACCACCTTTCAACATATCCCCAATAAGAGTCTTGATGCATTGCTCTGAAACCAGCTGGCGGGTGAGTTCATTCGGCCCAATTACAGATTGATCTTGGGTCGTGGCATTGGCAGATATGGTAATAATAGCTTTCAGGAAATCGCCTGCCGATGTTTGAGTGGATGCGGTGTGCTCGGGTGAGAGACATGCAAGAAGCCGAGGAATCAAGTTCTGGGATTGTAACCACTGATGGGCAAGAGTTAGCTGTGCATATCGGCAAACATGTCTGGTAACACCTACATCGACAATACCTTGTCCTCCCTCACTTTTTTCGAGGCTAAGAATTTTTAGGAGCAGGTCCATAATC